ATTTGTGAATTTGATGTCAACTCTGTAGGCTTGGTGTGAGGATCAATGGAGACAAGGTTTATCCATCATGTGCCCCATGCAGGGGTCCGCTGGCACTCAGCAGAACCTGGGACCGGACTGCTTGGTAAATCAGACTTCCCAACCTGCTAAACTCAACTTTGGGAACCAACCAGTCTCACCTGAACTGACTCCAGGCTCAAAGACCCAAAATCTTTTGCAGACACAGAAGTTGCATAAGCTTCCTGTGGAGTCTCAGATGTGAGAAATTAACATAATTCGTTATTTCTAGTCCTTTGCATAAGATTGGGCTTAGCAAGAGAAGTTCATTCCATGGAAGGAAATATCAGCTAATAAACAGGTTTCTGAATTAGACAAGAGAGCAGGTAGAGAAGATCGCCAGCAAAGGAGCAGAGATCCATCAGGTCTTCCTGCCTATCCATCCCTAAGAATGACAACAGCTACTTTGATGTGAGGATATCCACATAGTTTCAGAATGCTGAAGGGTTTGTGACAGTTAGAATGACAATTACATCCAGGATTCTCAAAGGGGCCAGAGATTTGGGTACTTACATAGGATAAAGAGATAACATTTACAATGTGTATTCCCGGAGGAATGAGCTAGTAGTAGATTAATTCTCTTCTCTGCCTTTCTCTCAGCCTCTCTACACCATTTATTGTAGCTTTGACTTCCCACTCCCACTGCTAATTTTCTTTCTTGAGTCTTGTCCTCAATTTCTGCGGGTATATTGCAATATCAGCAGCAGAAAAATGGGGGGAGAAAAGAAAGGATAATTGGAAAATTGCCATGAGTCTAGATTGGAGAAATGACTCTAGACATGGTTGGCTGTGGAGGTGGTGGAGCATGCGGGAGAGATGCTGATCTTGGAGCCATTTGGCCAGGGTTCAAGAGCCAGCTCTGCTACCTACTCCAGGGGACCTGTTGGCCTCTTGACCTCCATGAGCTGCAGTTATCTAATTTGCAAAATGGAGATAACATCTCTGCACTGCAGCCTCCCAGGGCTTGTTGTGAGGGTCAAATGAGACAAAGATTGTGACTGGTGCCATAAAGTACTAATAAACGCACGGAAGTCATGTTATCCCTGTTGTAACATATCTCTTAGCTTGTCACAGTGAAGACCCTCCTCCCCCCAGGGAACTGTTCCCCATTACTGCCCACTCCAAGTCATCTGGACAGTGTCTGACTCAATCCCCACCCCTATCTACTTCAAGGGGCCTTATGATCGCTGCCTTCATATGCCACGTCATTTGCTGTACCAATCTGTTCATTTTACAAACATTTGCTGAATGCCTAGTATGCCTCAGACAGTGTGCTATGTGCTGGGGATAGATATAAATAAATTGCGGTTCCTGCTGTTCTCCAGGAATAGCTAATCTCAGAAAACTTATCTACTCTCATGCTAGTAAACTCACGATGAATCTCAAATAGACCCCTTCTGGTCTCAAGCTACACCTGTTCCTTAGTTCCATAATATCTGTGTAATGTTTGTGTTTCTTTTATCCTTAAACCTAGCAAGCCTAACACTTTCCTTTCCTAGTGGCATAGGATCCTAACTCCACAACTACCAGTGAGGCCATCAACATTTCCCCAAACTCAAAAATGTGGATGATATCCTTTGAATTCTTCCTCTTTTGAGAGATTAGGATTACCCCTCTCAATTTCCCTCAGACAATATCTCTTGGAGGAACCTCCTCCATTTCTATAGGTAGACCTACAGCCTGCTCCAGTCACATATTTTGAGTGATAGAAGTAACTTATTACCCATCCTTGTACCTCCAGCTTCTGTCCACTTCACCCCAACCTATACAGGGCTGCCAGATTGATTTTCCTGCCTACCCTGACTAATGTGACTCCACAGGGACACTTCTCCCTTGCTCTGGATTTCCTTTACACCTAGGGATATGGTCCAGGTCACACGATTGCCACACTCACATGGTGCCTTGAAATTATTGCATCAATGGCCAAGATGTACCTTGGGTATCAGTAATAATATTTTAATGAAAGCAGCTTCTTCTTTCAAAGAGAAGGACTTGGAAATTAATTCCATTAGCTACGTGGCAAAGGCCACCTATAAAATGGTAAAGGACAGCCTCCGAGGTTAGTAACAGGGCGTCTGTGAGTTCCTCACGCTGCAGGAACAGGGAGCAGCAAAGCGGGGACCCTGTGGGGTTGCTATCCCTTCTGCTAATGGTACTTGGGTGGCAGGGGTGATGAGATCCTAACATTCTCAAATGGACAGAAGACAAATAAACAGTTTTTTTTTTTTTTTAAACAGACAAGTTGCAGCTCGGAAATTTTTTAGTTTTTCTCATTGCAAAATCAATATCCATCAGCAGTTGGAAATTAAAGGCAAGATTAGGCTTCAGTTTTCTACATGCTTTATTGTATTCCAAAAGCTTTCTACTCAGTCAGATAAATCTTCTTTAAGAGGATTAGGGAACTTTCATTATCTTTATCTAACCTGAACTAACACGAAGTCTGAAAAATTAATCTATAGCCTGGACAAAAGCCCATAGCTGCTGGGAAGAAGAGGACTCTTGGGCTTCTTTCTAATTGAGCAGCGAGGTCTCTGCTTCCACCCACTGGAAATTCACCTGGTCTCCAAAGAAAGGACATGTCACCCCCTTGCTAACCAAGACAGAAGAGAACGTGGCCCCCTGAGCTGCTTCTTTCAACCTCTCAGCAAATGGAAAGACCAGTCAGCTAAGTGCTCCAAGAGAAGGTTCTCCCCTTGCACCTCCACTCTGCCTGGTGCTTTGCATCGGGTTTCCCAGGCCGCCTCAGATGCCCTGAGCTATCAGAGCTGCTTGGCCTGAAATGAGGAGCCTGTGAGGAACTGACATCTGGAATTAAAGACTCCACTACTCTGAATCTTGCCTGTTCTCAGTCTCCTTCTGACCCAAAGGGATGAGGCCCTCAGGGAGACACCATTGGCTTCCATATCCAGCCCAAGGAATTGTTCTGAGTGCCTCATGAAGAATATTATGCTGAAGCTCTGCATTACTATCCCTTTATGGCCTATATTGACTTTGACACGCTTACGCAATCTGTCTTATTTCCTGAAAAGTGATAGCTTTGTTCTATTGGAGTCTGTCTCTGCACAGTGCCTGACAGTTCTTTTTAATTTCAGTGGGGCATTTCCTGAATTTTCAGATAACTTTGCTGTCAAGGCCATGAAAGTGCCATGGACGTGTCACTTCCATTGCAGAGGATTTCAGCTCCTCTGGAACTAAGCCCAGGTGGCAGGCAGGGTAGTGAGAACTCACAATCCCTTGTCCTATGCACCCCCAGAAGCTTACAACAGACATTCCAGCTGATCTCAGATGACTGATCCCACCTACCGCCTCCAACATCCTCTGAGGAGAAGCATCAGACATGACAGTTGTCTTTATCTCCAGATGGTGGGCCGTCTTGTAGCTCCAAAGAAGTGATCATCACCCAGCCATACCCCTGGGTGGGACATGGATGGACAATGGAAATAGTAGAGTGTACTGGCAGCTGTTGTATCATAGGCTGGAAAGCAAGTGGGGATGAGAGAAGGGCTGGGAGGCTGAACCGAGGCAAGGCTTTCAGCAATATGGCAGCACCAGGGCCTGCTGGAGAACGGAAGCTGCAGCAGACAGATCTCTGGCCCAGCACATGCCATTACAAGTGGGCCACAGAGCCGCTCTAGCCAAAAAAAAAAAAAAATGGCCATCCTGAATTGTACAAGTGACTGAAGCATGAGGGGACGCTAACTCCTACTCAAACTCTCCATGAAACCAACTAAAATGAGCAAGCTTATTTTTCTAGAAAGGCAGGAGTGAGGGAATCATATTAGCTAAGCAAGGATGCCATGCACACTTCACAAACTGAAAAAGAACTGTCGAATCTTCTGCGGATGGAGTCTGATAAAAGGCAGTTACTACAGACTTAATCCCACACAAGAACTCCTTCCCAGAGCTCAGTGTATGGCCCCAAGACATCAGTGTAGGAGACTTTGAGAAAGGCCCACCCAAGTCTCTTATCTGGTGGAGGAAGGCTGTGTCAGTGGAGGATGGGAACTAGTCTGCTTAGCACTTCATTGCTACCACGAGGCAACACCTGACAGAAATTGCTTTGCATAGTGGTGGGGGGGAGGGGTTAGTTGGGGGCAGCTCAAAATAAGTCCATTTGTATCGCTGCCTTGTTTTAAAATGGTTCTCAAATTTTCAGCACTGCTATCTGAATGTGTTTTTAATTCTTAATATTTGATATCTGAAATTTTGACATTTCTTCAGCCCTGTTTTTTTCCCACAAAGTGAAATTCAAATGAAAAACTATTAAGTACTAAGCCTGGGTTGTACTGACTCAGATTTTTTAAGGCAGACTGGCAGAGGATGTTAGGAAATTCCTCCCCCACTTTTTCTAATTATATAGATTTATTTCCAACATAGAGCTGGAGATATCATTTTGACTAATATCCCTCTTGATCTCAGCTCCACTGTGGGGCTAAGAAAGAGCGCAGAGACACAGCAGCAATGCCAACGAGGATCTGACTGAACAGCACTCGGAACCCTTCCAACATACACAACCATCAACTATCCAAAAGCAGTCACAGTCACATGATTTGACATCAATATTATTAACCTGTTACTATGAAATAAGCATATGAAACATAATTAAAAGGCACAGAGAGTATTACCATATCTATCTTTAATACATCTTGCACCAATTCCAGAGTGCTATGTAACTTAAGAGAGCTCAGACAGCACATGCCAAACAACTTCTTGATAAGAACGGAAGAGCCAGACATACAATTGAGAAACTTTGTGAAGATATTCAGTACTTATCAAAAACCCAGCAGGTGGAAAGGAATCCAGGACACACACTCTATCTCTGAATTCTATAGAGAAAAATGTCTTTTTATGTCTTCATACATGAGTAGAAGCAAAGACTGAGATTATGCTTCCCGTCCATCGTTGACAGGAAGGCCAATGCCCAAATCTTAGCTGTCACTCACCTTGAACTATGAGGTGAACCCGGGAAGTTTTGGGGTGGTTGTCCGTCTGCACAGAGCAGGTGTATGGGCCCTCATCATATACATCCACGTTCTGGATCATGATGCTGTACTGGGTTGGTGTGTTGACCAAGATGATCACACGAGGGTCTATGGACCACTTGTCATTCCCGGCATATAGGATGGTGCTGCGGTTTAGCCAGGCCACTCGGGTGACTCGGTCATCTATGGTACACCTGTGAGTGAGGGGAAGGGGAGATGAGAGGGGACGGGGGAAATAGGGGGAAGAAAGTAGCGGGAGTAGGGGAGGAGAGGGAAGGAGGAGGGGAACATTGAGGAAGGCAGGAGGGAAGAAAGAAGTGGGGAAGGAGGGAAAAAGAGAATATTGAGAGATTATATTATAAATGTGGTTGTTGCATTTCAAGGAGTAAATGAAACAACATAACCCAGTGCTAAAAGGAAACAATCAATTATTAATGAAACATCCTAAATATTGGGTAACAGTGGTCTGAATCATCCTGAAGAAATGATGATACAAAATCATTTCTATTTGACTTACGAATGTATTATGTGAATATCCTTGCTGTGTATTTGCTTTCCATCTTATTTTTTCCCCTAGGCTTATACAAAATTAGTTTATATTTCTTGAGTACATTTACTGCCTTGTGGGAGAAGTGGCCCAGGGGTATAGCAAAGAGAAAGTGGATCAGTAGTTCAAATAGGTCACAGATAATCTACAAAGCAAATACTTAACTTGTTGTTGGTAAAAAGTGAACATAATTACCTCCAGACCTCCCTGGTGTTGATAATCTCCTTGTGCCCCTAACCCGCCCAAAGCCTGCAAACTACAATCTGTAACGTGCTTTGGGGAAATCCACTTAGAAAGCCAATAATTACTTTTTATTGAGGTAGCATTGGTTTATAACATATAAATGTCATGTGTACATCATTGTATTTCAAACTCTGTATAGACTACATTGTGTTCACCACCAAAAGTCTAGTTTCCATCCATCACCATACCCACGTGCCCCTTTACCCCTTTCACCCTTCCCCTCTGACCCTTCCCTCTGGTAACCACCAATCTGTTATCTGTATCTATAGGTTTGTTTGTTGTTGTTGTTTTACCTTCCATATATGAGTGAAATCATATAGTATTTGTCTTTCTCTGTCTGACTTATTTTGCTTGGTATAATACCCTCAACGTCCAGCCATGTGGTTTCAAATGACACGATTTTGTTTTTTTTTTATGGCTGAGTAGTATTCCATTATATATGTATATATACCACATCTTCTTTATCCCTTCATCCATTGATGGGCACTTAGGTTGCTTCCAAGTTCCAAGTCATGGCTATTGTGAATAATGCTGCAATGAACATAGGGATGCACATGTCTTCTTGAATTAGTGTTTTTGTGTTCTTTGGATAAATATACAGATGTGGAATAGCTGGCTCTTATCGTAGTTTTATTTTTTATTTTTTGAGGAATATCTATATTATTTTCCATAGATGACACACCAGTTTACACTTCAGTGTACAAGAGATCCCTTTTCTCCACCGCCTCTCCAATACTTATTTCTTGTCTTTTTAATAATAACTATTCTGACAGGCATGGGGTGATATCTCATTGAGGTTTTGTTTTGCATTTCCCTAATAATTAGTGATATTGAACATATTTTCACGTGCCTGTTGTCCATCTGTATATCTGTATATTGTCTTTAAAAAAAGATCTGTTCATCTCTGGCCATTTTTTAATCAGGTTGTCTTTTGTTTTTGTTGAGTTGTATGAGTTCTTTATATATTCTAGATATTAACCCCTTATCAGATATATGATTTGAAATTATCTTCTCCCCATCAGTAGGTTGTCTTTTCATTTTGCTGGTATTGGAAAACTGGACAGCCACATGCAAAAGAATGAAAGTAGACCATTATCTTACACCATACACAAAAATTAACTTAAAATGGATAAAAGACTTGAATGTAAGACATGAAACCATAAAACTCCTAAAAGAAAACACAGGCAGTACACTCTTTGACATTGGTCTTAGCAGTATCTTTTTGAATACCATGTCTACTCGGGCAAAGGAAACAAAAGAAAAAAATAAACAAATGAGGACTACATCAAACTAAAAAGCTTCTTCAAAGAAAGCCAACAATTTTTGAGTAAATTGTGGCTACCTCTAAGATGTCAGGAGAGGGAAAGAGAAAACAGTCAGGCAGAGTTCCTCCTTCCATCCCCTCCCTAGGCCCTGAGAGCAACGTGGCTGATGTCGCCTCTGTTGTCACGAAGATAGAGAGGCAAGCTCTACCTGTCACGCCTCTCACCTACCCTTCCCAACAACTGGAGGCTCTGGACAAAAAAAGAATTGGCTTTTTGGTGTGTATGACCTGCAGGCTATCAGGTTTAATGAAGAAATAATTGTGCCTGCTGGTCAGGAGGAAAATTTGCATTTGTGCCCCATGAACTTAGAACCTGTAATGGAAAATTGAGAGAAGGGAATCCTTTATAAATGTGAGTTTGCAATGAATGGCATGGTTAAAGGGGCCTAGGTGTGCCCCCTGACTACTCAACCCTCTAGTCAGAATCTGAGTTGCGATCTCTGGACAAATGGGAAGGTGCAATTAGCAGCCAGGCTGCTTCCTGGATATCCATATGTCCAAGCAGAGAGGGTACGAGGTGTGCCTCCTGAGGAGGAAGAACGTGAGTCCGGGGGAGGAGACAGGGAAAAACACCGCCCTACTTCACCAACTCTGATCCCATTTTCATTGAGAGCAGAGATCCTTCCCACAGGGCCCAGGAGACAAGAAGATCGCCAAAGACACTGACAACGGAGGAGAGAGGGCACACATTTTGGACATGCTCTTTTCCCTTGAAAGAAAGTGACCAGCCTGACACAGCCTGAACACTCAAGGGAACAGAATGATACTGGAGCACCAAAGTGACAGCTTCTGTTCAAGGGGGACAGCACTCAGTCTAGCAAGGTACTCTCCCTGCTTGGTAGGAGGGAGATAATACTAGATAATAGATAATAATACTAGCTTTCAATCAAAGAGGTCTTTCCTATGTACAGGCCCACCTGTCACTCAGCAGGTGTGAGTGGCCAGGAGGTAGGGGTGGGGTGATAAGTAGGTGCTTTCAAAGTATGGCAAGAAGAGATCTTTATAACTTTTTTTTAATGTCTTTATTTTTTTTTTTTAAAGATTGGCACCTGAGCTAACAACTGTTGCCAATTTTCTTCTTTTTTTTTTTCTGCTTTATCTCCCCAAATTCCCCCTATACACAGTTGTATATCCTAGCTGCATGTCCTTCTAGTTGTGGGATGTGGGACGCCGCCTCAACGTGGCCTGATGAGCGGTGCCATGTCCACGCCCAGGATCTGAACCCTGGGCCGCTGCAGTGGAGCGTGAGAACTTAATCACTTGGCCATGGAGCCGGCCCCTATAATTTTTAAAACCTAAGTTATAGTTGTAAAGCATGTTCTGTGGAGAATATTCACATTTTATAATTAAAATGTCAAAATATTCCTTTATATATATGTATATATACACAGATATATACGTTCAATGCAATTTAAATACCTTAGTGATTTGATACTCACGATACCTATTTCCAAAAATCATGAATAAGCTCTTATTATTCACAAAATGTGCATTGTTACTTTTTTAAACTTAAACTTGTTTCCATTATGTCTTCTACAAGATTTTATCCTAATATAACGTTTTATACTTAAAAATCTTCTATTGATCAGCTATCATATTTATTTGCAACTATATATACAGATTGAAATTTAAATTTCTTTTATGTTTTGTGACAATAAAGCTCTGAGTAATAGTATTTTCTTTCAGAATGAGTTATCATTACAAGGATAATATAGACAAAACAATATAAATATACTGTACATGTTGTTAAGTAATAATTAAACATAAAATGTAAACTTTTACCGGAAACATAGCTCTTAATGGGATAGATGAAGCTTTTTTAAATTACATAGTAGACAAAGATCATTACTGATAGAATGAAATAAAGCTCAGGATGAATTCTATTCCTATTTTTGCTTTGAGAGAAACCTAATCACATAAGCAAGGAGATGCAAATATAAATCTTGTATAGCAATGTCACTCGATTCTTTGAACCTTTTCAAAGATATATGCCAAAAATCACATGGTAATATAGCTTCAAAAATTATTTTAATGATTGCACAGCTGACAATTCAATTAGTTTCTCCTTCAGTTTCTTTTAAAGCAATGAATGAGAGAATACCTGATTTGCAAGGGGCTTTGTAACCCAGCATTAATTTCATCCAGTCTCTCCACATCTGGACAGGATGCTGCTAACGTTTGGCCAGGCCTCACCAAAGGACTGCTGAAGACCTGCTACTCTTTCACTTACAAGCATCTTGTTTAACCCAATACACTCAGGAAGGCCGGGAAATTGAAATACTGTTTATTTTAATATGCCAGATCACACTGCCCACTGTAGAAAACATCTCCTTCTCTGACTTCTAATTCCAAGATGGAGATGGCCCCAGCTTTGCCATGAACTTGTCACTGGTGACATAATGTGCTGTGGCCTTCATTGCCTCTCTGCTGTGCTTTGGTGGGACTCTCCTTCAAGAGCGGTCCTCTGAGAGCAGGTGGGTAGTGCAGGTGACAAAGAGAGTGAAGGAAAATTCTCTCCTGGACAATTAGTAAAGTGGAGCAGTCAGGGAGGAGAGCCAGAATTTTAATTCAATCTCAGGCACTTTCTCAGGCAGCTGATTTTAGGAAATTTGAGATCTTGGAAAGTATTACCTTAAAACTATCACTGCCCTTGTGTAAGACCCACAAATGCAGGTTGGGGTGCATGCAACCAGCTCAAATTACCATGGGGTCTAGTAGGAGCTGACTTTGAAGTACGTCAGTCCAAATCTACCCTCCAGGGCCGGAGCACTCTCAGTGCCCTGCCACACAGCCCTGGGACTGCCTCGTGCACCCCTGGGGTAGATGTACCCCAGGTAGATGGGCAGCGCCCAGTTCACCTGCTCTCAAACCTGGGCTTCAGGAGTGGGCACAGAGGGCAAATAGAGAGGAATAACTGGGTCAATCTCTCTCTCTGGAGGTCGGGGGGGTGGGGCAGAGCCGGGTCACTGAGTCTGTGCAGTCCTAGGACCTCGTGAGTGATGACTGTGGGAGAACGATGATGTTGGTTGAGGACAGTGATTTTCCTCATAATGTTTCTGCACTTCAGAAGAAGTGTAGTT